TTTAGTACATTATTTTGAGTACATGTACAGTACAGCTTTGTCCTTAGGACAGTGTAGTGTGCCCAGAGAAACATTAGGTGCAAATTTTAAAATATGATGCGCCAGATTGACTCTCGCTTTAAATTAAAACATTGTCCTCAATTGTGGGTGTTGCTTTAAATCAATAATCTTAAATTGAATTGCTTTAAATCGACGTTCTACTGTATTAGAAAAACACATGTGCATCCTCGGGCACATGCATACCTTATGCACGTATACAGATATAGGCCTACATACACAAGTGAAGTTCTCTCAAAGGCTTCTCTCTCATAATATGAGCTCATTAATGGATTTAATCAAATTTTAAATGTCTTTTGATGCCAAGAATTGGTCAGTAATGTTATAAAATCATGTTTTAAATACAATTAATTACATTTTCAAAACTCAATACTGTACTTGTATAACCACACAAAACAAACAAGCATTTAATAAAATTTGGTCTATCTTTATATCTATATGGCAGATTCAGCTGTGAAAAATAGGGGGTTATTTGAAGCTAGGAGGGGTACTTTTAACCTAGATTTAAATGACTGCAGGGATAATAACTTGAACCTGGGACTGGGGGTAATCTGAAATTTTTACACTGGTGCAAACTTGTCCCTAACATCTTCTGAAGCAGTGTGATTTGTTTCTGCTATTTGAGAAACCCTACTGATCTTCTCGACACTTCCAGCCTCCACTTATGAATGAGAGAGGTCACTTAGCACGCTGAGACGTGCAAGGACATGGATTGAATTAACAATTACAACTGAATGCTTGTCTGGATTGTGCATGCTCAGTGTACATCGAAAAAAGGTGCAAGAAAGAAGCCTTCATTGAAGATGTGATTGATCGTTTTGGAGCTATAAATGCCACCTGCAGTATTTATTTAACCCACTAATGTTCTGAGCAAGTCAGTACTCACTAAAGTGACAGACATCTAGCACTGGCCATCCCTAATTTATCAAGATTAATGATGTGAAATGAATTATTATTGTTAGTGTTTCATGCTTAAAGTCAACCCCGTGATATTTTTAGTGATTAATAATTTGGTGATAACATTGATAAGTGATATTACTGTTCATACAGTACTCGAAGGTATGGTAACTTATTTATACTTGATCATACATTTTGAATGAACTCATATGTCAGGTCATGTTTTGCTTCTTGCACCCCCTGAAAAATATCCCGTATGTGCCCATGGGTACAAATTGAACATGTTTAGAAAGTCACAATATAACAGTTCATAAAATATATTCTTGACGACCTAGTGAAACACGTAGGATTAGATTTATACATATAATATTACCTGTACTATGACAGTAATACTAAACTAATATCAATATTAATATTGTCAAAACCATAGAAACTTTTGTTTATATGATGTACTGCAATATGGCAAGGACTATGGCAGTATGTCGACCTGACTCACTTATTAAACCTGATGTAAAAATGGATTATAAATAAATTATTTAAGTCTCCAAATATGAGTACTGTAGCATTATTACATTAGGGGGTGTCATAGGAGGGAAGATCAGCTAAAACTAATGGCCCATCACTTTTTTGGTAGATTTTAGTGTATATAAACAGAAAATAATTTCAGTTTCAATATTTTGCAACCTTTTGCTAGGTAAATTTTAGCGTGAAATTTATCGAAAATCTAACGTACAGCTGCATTAGTGCATTACAATTAAATAGTGAACATTGCTTTCTGACTTCATTCATTAACAACCCAACTAACAATATTTTTTTCTGTTTCAGATTCTGATGCATTTATAAGTTGATAATATTGGCGGCTGCTTGTGTCAGGACGAGGAACCAAAATCCAGCCATCTCAGTCACTATCTTGGGTCTGGGAGAGAGCTCCTGAAGTCGGAGTTGCCTACATTGAGAGATGCTTTGAGATACGGTGTTTAACTAGGCAAATCAGTGAAAAGAACCAAAGAACTTACACAAACAAAGACATTGCCAGTGATATGACCAAAGCTGTCTTGGCACAGTACACTCTGGCTAACGCTCAGTTCAAGCCTCCAGTCATAACAAGTCAGAAGAAGATTAGTGAGAGACTGCTAGCCAGTTGGGAAAAGGCAAGAGATATCTCTCTTGGGAGAGGAAAACTTGCAGTTAAGGACAGCTTTGCCAAGCAACTGGACCAGTTATTTGACATAATTACTTGCAAGTGCCCAATTGTTCTCTGTCCTGAGTTTGGATGCGATCGTGACTGTAAATCCGAGGCCCACATCTCCTGTATTTGCAAGCGTGAACTGAAGATTCCTGTGATCGAACTGGCATTTGTCAAAGCACAGAGAGAGAAGACTGGCAGTATAGGGGCTCTCATGATTTCTAGCCAAGATATTCCGGAGTCCAAGAGACAGGAGGCTGCCACAGAGAGACAGAAGAGGAGAAGAGTTGCCGAGAAAAGAGACTTGAGAAGGCCCAGGGTGAGGTAAAAAAGGCCGATGATTGAGTCAAGCTGATTCAGAGTTTAATGACTTCCCCATGGCTGATCCGAGTGCTGACCAGGAGAATGGTGACTTTGTCCCTAACCCAGAAAATAATGATCCCAAACCTTCCAGGCATAAGATTCGAAATAGGAAAGATATCCCGAGCATAGCTCTGGCCAGCATGCGACACCACACTGGTCTCAGAGAAACTGCAGAGATAGCAACAGCTGCCTGGATTGACGGTGGTTTGATAACACCTGATGATGTTCACCTGGTGATAGATCATAACAAAGTAAGGAGAGCTCAGGAGAAACTTGTCAGTAACCTAGAAGAGGAGTTTGATAAGGGGATAAGAGAAAATGGAATCAATTGTTTGTTCTTTGATGGGAGAAGGGATGACACTAAAGTGTTCATGAAAGTTGGAGATTCTGACAAGTTGTTCCCTGCCATGGTGAAGGAGGAACACTACTCCTGCTGCAGTGAACCAGGAGGGAAGTATTTGTGGCATTTCACTCCAGAGAAAGATGACATCAGGAAACCAGCCGAGACAGTGGCAGATAACATTGTGAACTGGCTCAGAGAGAGGAACGTAGACCAGACCCTGCAGGCCATTGGAGGGGACAGCACCAACACGAACACAGGGTGGCAAAGGGGGGTCATACAGTGGATAGAGCGGAAGATTGGGAGGAAGCTGGTCTGGATTGTTTGTGACCTCCACACCAACGAGTTGCCACTCAGACATCTGATCCAGGAGCTGGATGGCAAGGCTCTTTCAAACAACAGATGGTCTGGTCCTCTTGGCAAGATGCTGGACTCTGCCACTGAGTTAGAAATAAATCCGAGCTTTGAAAAAATCACAGTTGGCCCTCCACTCGTTGAGCTTGCACATACTGTCATTGACGACCTGAGTACTGACCAGTACTATGGTTACATGATTTGCAGTGCCATCAAAACTGGGGTCATGCCTGATAGACTTGCTTACCTGCAGATAGGTCCAGAGTATAGAGCGTTGTGTACAGCAAGTGAGCGAGGCCAGCAGTCACGTGTACAGCCAGGAGAGGAGGGAAGGCTACATCCGAGCTCAGGTGGTCAGCAGGGAGGTGATGAGTAGAAACAGAAGCAAGAAAGACATGTTCTCTATGGTGTGCAGCAACACCGGGTCGTAGTAGTAAAACCGGTTTTTGTATTTGATGATTTTGTTTTCTAAAGGAATATTAAATTTAATAAATGTGTCAAGATCATTCGTTTCACTATTCTGGATCATTTTCATCCTAATAAATTAACCTGATACATTTACTTTACTTTAAATAAGCTATTTAGTGGTGTTGGTAAAGGGGTGGGAATACTGAATTTTCATAAGATTTCAAGTTAAAATTTACCTCGCAAAAAATGAAAACTTTTCAAGTCTGAAGATATCACATGATTCTGCACATAGAACTACATCATTAATACCATGGGCCAATTTTTCAAACTCAAAAAAAAAAAATTCGCCTCCGTATGACACACCCTATTATTACATGGATGGGGTTCTTACATTTAGCCTCTTTATACCCAACAAGCACCTCTAAAGGGGGGTTGGAAAACTTCTTTGGTTACCGAGTACCCAAAACCACATTGCCATTAATTTTTCATTGTTTTAATTTGGGGTTACCCGATCTAAAAAAAAAAGTGATTAAAAACACTTCAGAGCATTGTCACCAAGTTTCAGGAAAATCACTAAGGCCATTTTTCAATTTTGTGGGTGTGTGCTTTGGAACAAAAAGCAAATGTTAGCAGTTTGCAAGGCTCAATGGGCCATTGTCTAAATTTTTATTTCATTTTTTTGATTGAACACATCACCTTAAAAAGCAGTTATATTTTTTTATGACCAACAACCTCTATTACTCTTGGTGCCAAATTTTAGTAATATAGCATGCCTATATCAGATAGAATTTTGATGACTCTCTCACTCACTCGGTTGCAACCAACTGTATATAACAACTGATCTTACATTCTTTGCATCAACCTATATTATACTATATGAAGCTCAGGAGTAAGTGGGTCGGAGACATTGGGGTTGGGCGAAGGGTGAGGATCAGGGGGTGGATTGTGGGGACAGAGAGTCGATCAGGGAGGGTCATGGGTGTCGGAGGTAGTGAGGTGGGGGTCAGGGGGAGGTAATGTGTCACACAGTGTTATGATTGATCTTACTGTATATAAGATGTGAGGCTGGTAGCAAAGTTCAGATTGATATGCTACAAAATGTGTGCATGAAAACAATATCAAATTGAGGTCTGCCACAAAAGGAGCTCATATTAAACTGTACAGCTTAAATAGAACACATTTAAATTGTCGTTATTGATATATCTTACTTGTAGTTGTAGCTTTGTTTATTTTTATAATAAACGTTTAAAGTAAGGAAAAAGATGTACAATGTCCTGGCACTGTAAGTGACATACAGTACTTCCCTGGTAGTCTGGGTTCATTATGTACCACTTAAGCTTCTATGAAAGTTACTGGTAATTTTTATGTTTCTGAAATAGGAAAATAATACAGGAGTTGCTATAAAAATTCTTATTCAAATGATGGAATGAACATTTCACACACTGGTTCCACAAACAGGAAGCAACAACAGGCAGTCAAGAGTAAGAAAATGCTGCTCATCACCATCTCATCAAGAGACCCTCTGCTTTGAGTCAAAAATATTTTGTCCACATTCAACAGCATTCCCTTACCTCCACATGCTCTCAATTCCCACTAACAAAAGTACATCTAGCATTTCAAGACTAAGATAGAGAGGCAATTCCAAGAGTTAATGTAAGGTGTCATTAAGGATTATTTTCCCTGACTAAAATGAGGGAAAACAACACTTAAGTTACCTCTCTAAGGCTGGAGTTTTTGTGGATGAGTGTCACCTACATATTAAAAAAATTACTGTATTCATAAATTTACTCATACTAATCTGATTTTTTTCTTATTCTATAAGAAAAAACAAGTTGTAAATAAGCTTCTAATACTGTGTTTTGCACATTTTCTCATAAGATAAATGGTTGTGAAATTCGTTTGCGAGTCAAGTTATATTTTCTTATTAATTGCAGTCAAAAGCCATGAATATTTTAGGCTTCCAAACAATGTTTTACACATTGTTTACGACACAATCTTTCCTACTCAGCTTAACGATGAATAAAGTTGACACATCTGCGAAGAATTACTGCATGTCCAGGAGCCTACTGGTTCAGTATATTAACCACTTGATACTGTAAAATAACTCCTGAGACATTGTCCCCTTCCTTGTGTACAATTCCAAGTAGAGTCTTACAACATCATGTAGCCAAATCTCATGTTGAGAATGGTTTTTCCAGCATCAATCTTGATTTATGGCTTTACGTCTTAAATTTTGTGAAATGGTTCATCTTACAATATTTACAACTAATTGCAACATCAGCTGGAATTGTTATAAGAGTTTTACAAATATATTCTGCAGTGAAAAAGGTACACATTATACTGAACTTTTAAATATTTCTTCTCAAAACTTTCAATACTAATATACACATATATATTAAGTTGTCAGATACGTTTACAAACCAAAAATATTTAATAATACTGGATGTCTCACAATTAATGTATACACACTGCCTTACTGATGTTCTTAAGAGATCAAGTGAATGTCTGCATTGCATCAGCAACATTGTCCTCACTTGTGGGAGACCTCACACATCAACTAGTGAGGACAATTTTACTGTTGTAATACTGTATGTACAAGCTTTCACGTGACCTCCATGAACATCTGTAAGGTAGAGTATGCATACATTTTTTTCTGAGACACCTTGTATTGTACCAAAGATTTTCATTAAGAACTAAACACAGTAGTCAGATCATTAAGAAAAATTTTACTAGGAAAATATTACTTTGAAATTCACTGTATTTGACATAGATATATAATATGAGTCTGAAATGGATAATGTTATACTGTATATGAGATATAACCTCATATCTACAATTCACTTCACCACTATCAGCTTGCTAACCATTTGGGTGTGTGGTCTGTTCTGTATAACCTTTATTAACCTTTATTGTCCAGTGTTAAGACAAGAGGAAACCTGCCATGTTTGGCTGGGCTACACTGGATAACACCCTTCTCTTATCAGTCCCAGACCAGAAACTGAACCCAGGACACAGTAGTGAGAGATAAGAGTGTTATTACTGTACCACCGCCACCAAATTTTATAGTTTTGAGATGACTGATTGCTACAAATTAGCAAGAAGAACACATCCAGCACAGAGACTAACAATCAAGAAAACTATCTTGCAATTAAAAATTCTATTAATGCACTTCCTTACAACGAATAAAGAGGATTATGATCAACAAGTGTTCAAATCCGAGATACCCGACCAGTGACGAGGGTATCACCTTCAGGTAGGCACTGCTGCGCCCACTCAACATTGTAATTTATTTTAAAGCCAAGAGACCATCCTGCCTCACACTAAAGTAATCCCAAGGCTACGAGAGTTAGCTTAGTTTGGTACATGGACATGATGAACTGGCCAGCTCTGAAGGCCTTGACACAATATGTGGCTAGCTCTGCAGGCCTTGACACAATATGTGGCTAGCTCTGCAGGCCTTGACACAATAAGTTGCCAGCTCTTCAGGCCTAGACACAATAAGTGGCCAGCTCTTCAGGCCTAGACACCATAATTGGCCAGCTCTGCAGGCCTCGACAGGATAACTGGCCAGTTCTGAAGGCTTTGCCATGGAATGACCAGTTCTAGGGCCTTGACATGATAAGTGGCCAGCTCTGGGGCATTGCCATGGACTGACCAGTTCTGGGGCCTTGACATTATGAACTGGCCAGCTCTGGGCCTTGACATGATAACTGGCCAGCTCTGGAGCCTTGCCAAGGACTGACTAGTTCAGGGGCCTTGACATGATAAAATGGTCAATGCTGCAGCTCTGGGGGGCCTTGCCATGGACCAATGAGCTCATGGGCTGTGACATGATGGACTGACTGGCCATATCTGGAGCCATGACATGACAAAGGCCAGGTCTACATGATGGAATGACCAATTCAAGAACCTTATGACACAAACGATCAGCCTGGCCAAGGTGAAGGTGTTGTGAGTGGGCAGTCTTTTATGTCATAGAGCTTTTGGCACCCATCTGATGATTTAACCACAAAATGTTGTCAAGTAACAAATCTGACAGCTTATAAGTTAGCCTGTTAATAATATGTCCTGCAAAAAAACTAAATCCTTTGATGAAAGATTGAAGTGAAAATTTGTGAAATTTTTTGGTAAATTTATTTTCCTTTTACTCAATAAAAGAAGAAACTTTCAATAGTACTCTTCCTTGAGTTTGTTTACAAAGATTGATGTTCCCTTATACTGAACTGTACATATAATTAATAAAAGTAAAAAACACTCATATCAATGTTTGATTACATAATTATAAGTAGTTAGCAACAACTCCTCAATAAAGATTGAATTTCAGCCAAAATTGTCATGGTTTGGAAGGGAGATTTTAGACACTGAATTTCTGTAATGAAAATGATAATTTAAATCAGACAGACAGTCACCAATATATATAATAAAACGAGTATCACACTATTCTTTCATGTCATTACATTTGAGATTATTGAAACATCACCCAAAAACTACACACACTCACACTTCTCATCCATTAACTTAAAGTGACAAAATAATGGGAAAAAACAAAAAAAAACAATGCATTATGAAAGTAAAAATATCCACCACCTTAACTTGCTCAAAAATATAAATCACTCATTGAACTGTTAAATAAAGCACCTGGGAGCCTCAAAAACTTCCAACTAATAGAGAGAAATATAAAGAGTTAATACTTGTCTCTCCTCCAGAGTCCTGGGGGAGACCAGTACAAAGAAAAACACCCAAATGGAACCTCAAAAGAATGAATTTATTAATTTAAATTCCTCTGGGTAACACTATGAACTAAAACTTCATATCAATATAACTGCATTAATAACACAAAGTTCCACCAAAATACCTTCATGATCACTGTATGTCTTCACTAAAGTCATAACTTCAGCAGATGTTATGATCAAGCCAAGAAATTATTATCCTTTTATTTCCAAATAAAAATTAGCATTTATAAATTGAGTGGTAAGAAAGAAGAATCGTGTAGTATTACTACTTGAAAGGCAAGGAAATTTAGCCTCTGGCCCCAAAATATGAGAAAGGCTGTTTCTGATACAACTCCTCTGCATCTTCCATTAATCAAACTTGCTTCTCTTCTATCCTACAATGTCACAATTTTATTACACATCTATTACATTCTCACAAAAAATACATATAAATAAAAAAGGGAAAAAACACTCATTAATGCAAATAGTTTGTCAAAATCCTGGAGACTAATGTGTTATAAATATGAGGCAGATGATAATTGATATTCAATCTACACAATGTCTAACACAATGAACTTGTTGAGATAATAAGACTCACTGCCAAGCTAAAATGACTTCAATGTGTCATTATTTTTTATGTTGCCATCACACTAGTTATGTTTATTCTAGATCAAGATCATCTTGGTACAGACTACAGGTATAACGTGTGTGTGTGTGTGTGTGTGTGTGTGTGTGTGTGTGTGTGTGTGTGTGTGCGGTTATCCACGCAAATTTTTAAATATATGTATATATTTATTTATATGTATATATTTATTTATATGTATACTGTATATATGTATGGATGATCTCAGTCACAAAAATGGGCACACACAAGCATTCACATCCACATACACACCATGAGGACACCATGCTATAAGGGCATATGTCTTCTGTTTGCACTCTAAACATCATAACCATCTTGCCTGCTTCTGTTAAACAATTGCTCTCAGTAGAAACACCATAAAAAATAAACACTAATGTCACTCACTTTTCTGCTCCCTGACCCAACAAACTTTCCTCGATGATGATCTCAATTTTATCCAAATTTATTTCCCCACATTAATTTGAGTAAGTACCTGTATATAGGGTAATTTTATAAAATATAAGTTACTTTCCTCCAACACCACAGTTCCATAAGTTCAAGATATATATTAAAATTATAATTAATTTTTTGTGTGTTGCCAATTCCTGAACACAAAGTTATCTTGGTAGCTATTTGTCCCTTTGAAGTCCTTTTTATAAGCTTTCTCTCTGCTGGGTATCCATCTTCTTCATTCTCGATGTATAAGTACAAACACCCCTAAACCAGCTAACACCGCATACTGCAAGAGAAAACAAACAACATTATTCTAGTGATTATTTCTTCATTCTCCAAATAATCCACCTAACACTGTATGCTGGAAGGAAACACAAATCATTTTATTATTTCTTTATATTTGATGCATAAATGCAAACACTCCTAAATTTGTGGCTCGAGGTTTGCGGCATCTGGTAAAAAAAAAAGTCCATGTACCTGGAGCCGGAAACACATTTGGGAATGTGATCATGTGAGTGAGAGTTTCAGTGTAGTGTAGTGGACTGTGGCAGCATGGTAAATTCACAGCCAATGTACACAGACACTTGCAGAAATAATAAAACAAACCAACAGAACCTGACAATATGATTTGAGCAAATTCAAAATTACTAGAACACTGTTAAAAACTAAAAGTGGAGAAACTATCTGAACATCTGAGATCAACATCAAGGAAGGCAGACACTATTTTGGCTCAACCTTTCTTGTGCTGATAATATTCAAGGTTCATCATCAAGGGTGTCACTCTCTAGAGGGAGATGATTGGCTTAGCAGTGAACACATGTTCTAGCCATTAAAGACACTTACAAACACAGTGTATGAAGAGGAATTTCTAATGATTGTTTACATCAATGATTACTAGCAATATCTCCGTTACTCGAAATCACTCTTAGCCGAAACTCTCCAATAGCCGAAATTTAAATTTACTTGAAAATTTTCCAGATAATTCTGGGTTTGGGAACGATTTTACGAGGTTGAAAATCAGGGGCATTTTCTGGAAAATTAAAAGAAAATTTCCGGAAACTCACTCCAAATTGTTTTTTTCCGGGTCTGGGAGCAAATTCCAAGGATAAAATAATGCACAATTTCAAGAAAATTCTGAGAATTTTTTCGCAGTACCCAGAAAATTTCCAAGAATGGAGGATTTTTCCGGGTTTTAGACTCGCCTTGTTACCCGGAAATTTCTCATTCCCGGAAGTGCTCGGCACCAATTGTTCCAGCTAACCATGATATCACTTCTATGTGGGGAAGAAATATAGGACTGGTAACAAATTAACAAAATACAAATATGACAAAATATGAAATGCACATATCCCTTAAACACAGCAGGGGTTAGGTTAATGAAAATCCTGCAAAGCCAAAATACGAAGGAAAATCCACACCATAACACATTTGCTTCCCACATATGCTATTTATTTTTCTTATTTTATAGTTTTATATCATAATTTCCATATTTCTAAAACACTTTAGAGTATTAGAATTATTTTTTCACAACTTTATAGTTTCATTCCAAACAACAATATACTGTACAGTAAAGCCTCGAATAACGACGGTAATGTGTCCTCTAATATTGCAGTGTAAGGTGAATCATCGTATCAAGAATCATTAATTACCATTAAAATAAAGCAATAATAATGAGATGCATTCCCCAGTGTGACATTTTTATAACTTTTGTGGGCTTTTTACCTTCTTTTCCCCCCAAAACAATACAATTAATTAAAAATGCAAACTATATTCTTGAAATAATGTTTATGAATGCACCTTATACAACATAAATCAATAATAATAAGATCACACTAGAGGAGATGGGACGCTATTGTTGTTGTCGTGTTTACACCCATAATGTCAGTTATCCATCTGAAAAAAGAAAATAAGACCCTGGTTGTTGCTATAGTAAAATTGATATAAAAATATATATATGTTTTAATTAATGTTATTTAATGTAGTACAGTAAAAGTAACCATTAAAGTTAAAGAAAAAAGAGAGTGAAAGTGGAACGCCAATGTATAATTGCGCAGTCAAGGAAACCGCGTCATTTACCTTAAGAATATGTACAAAAGATTCATTATTGTTTATTACTGAATATGTATTTGATTAAATTAATGTTTATATTTGTGAAATGAGCAATGCAATTCATTAATAATACAGGGTATGTAGAATATTAAAACACAATAGGAGACGAGACAGCATTGTTTTCGTTCATGTTTACAACACCTGTAACGAATGACGATGGTACTACTGTACTTCTACATAAGAAACTGAAGAAATAAGACCCTGGTTGTTGTTGTAGTAAAATTAATGTAAAAAAATTAATATGTATGTATTAAGTAATGTTATTTAATGTTAATAAATGGAACAATAGAAGTAGCTAACCATTAATGGTAAATAAAAAACGAAATAGATTGGGAATGCCATCGTATGTAAGTACTGTACATGTGAAAACATATTGCCATTTCTCTACTTATGAATATGAAAGCAACACTTGTTACTGTTCATATATGTTTTAAATAATACTTACTAATGTAAAACAAAAATTCTACTCACAAATGGTGGTAAAGTCTAAAACATAAGGACAGCCAATGAATATTGTGCAAGTTTTTACTCAGATGATTTCGTCAATCAGGTTCAACTCTGGCTGAAGCTGCAGCTTTCCATAAAGATATCATAGCTGTTACTGAAACTGTTACTGAACCTGAAGTTGTTGCTGAAGCTGCTTATGATGCTGAATTTGATGGTGTAGCTGAAGTTGGTGGTTTAGGCCTTCGAATAATAAAGCTGTAGAAAGAACCTTTCACAGACGCTTTCTTTTCTCATTATACTTCTTTATGTAGAGGTCACATGTGTTTTTCACATCCCTGTTAATTTTAATGCTTCGTTCTGTTAATGGATCCACTTCAGCAAATAATATTATGTTCATTGCTTGCTTCATATAATATCCACAGACCTTTTTCATATCGTTTTAACACATCTAGTTTATTGGCTAAGTTATACTCTTTCTATTAGCTTTTGAACCAGCACTATCATATCTTGCTCATGTTGAATAGACACAAAAAATGCTGTAAGAAGCCTGAGAATGTTTTTCTCCTTTTCCTGTTCAGATGCGCGAAAACAAATGGCCAGCCAGCTGCGACTGTTTATACTAGTGATGTTGGCGTCACCCTCACAAGCCCGGCAGCCTCCATGCGCAAAGCGTGTTTTTTATTTTATTTTTTTGTATAATACATATCAGGATTTGGTTATTATTTATATGAAAATGCAATTTTACTTTATTTTTTAAAAAAATTTTGTCGTAAATACGAAGATGATAATGGTGTAAATTGAATTGGGTCCTAAATTAACCAGGGTCTTAAATATGAATCGTCATTATGGGAGGCTTTCCTGTACTAGGTGGATGGGCTGGCAAGTCGGCCATGTAATTTATCGCCAAGGCCTTGGCTAGCACTGCCTCCCTACACGTTCACTTCTCTCACAGACACATCCATGCTCTTTTTTTTTTCTTGTGTTATATTATATTTTCTTTATTTCTAAGCCACATCATAGTATTGTAATGATTTTTTTAAGAACTTTTAGAGTGCAATTTCATTACAAGTAACAATATAGGAAGCAGCTGGGCTCATTAGTCAGCCACCTAGTTTATAGCCAAGGCCTTGGCTATTTGTAATGAAACTATAAAAGTTGTGAAAAAATCATTATAATACTCTGATGTGTCTTAGATATCTGAAAAAGATAATATAAAACTATAATACAGCATGCACTTAAAATGCTCGGCCTTCGATTATTCGCATTTGACGCCCTGGATGTACCCAAGAATGTCTGCGGGTACTTTTAAAATTGGTGGCATGTTCACAGCAGGGATGGAGAGTGCGTGAGTTTTGTGGCATCCCACAAGATATGTCTTTTGTCCCAGGAGGCTGAACCACGAGCGCACTATGCCTCAGTCTGGGATAAACACTTGTTCGTCTTGCTTGTGTGCTACTCTGCTCTCTTAACAACTGTGTTCCTCGTGCTTGTGATGGCTCCCAAATGCCCTCAACCATCTTCATCCAACCGTGAGAAGGTGCCCAAGTGAAGAGAAAAAAGGTCATGATGCTCATGGAGAAGATACAACTGCTGGACAAACTTAGGAGTGGCCAAAGCTTTGCCGCGTGTGGTCCTATGGCGTCAATAAGTCAACTGTCCCCTACATCAAGAAGTAAGAGGGATATTCGTAATACTGTTGCCCTAAGTGCCCCCTCTTCTGCCAAGGTAGCCGCTAATGTGAGGGATGTAACTATGGTGAAGATAGAGTGAGCCCATAAAATGTAGTTTGAGGACTTTAACCAACACCACATCCCTCTCAGCCAGAAGTTTATCTGTGATAAAGCTAAGGTCCTGTATGACCTATTCCATGCTGAGGAAGGTGGTGAAGGGAAAGCAAGTGGTGAAGATGGTTGTAATGCTGGTGGTTCTGGCAATACCACAAAGAAAGGTTTAATGCAAGTAAGGGGTGGTTTGAGAACTTCAAGAAGATCTACAATCTGCACAACTTGAAGATCACTGGTGAGTCAACCTTAGTGGATGATGTAGCAGCAAGGGAATATCCTGCGATCTTTGCTGAGATTATCCGGGAAAAGGGTTACAAGCCGGAGCAGGTTTTCAACGCTGACAAGACTGGCTTGTGGCGGAAGAAGATGCCAGCCAAGGACATTCATTTCCAGGGAGGAAAGGAGTGCACCGGGCTTCAAGGTGGGCAAGGATCGTGTGTCTCTCATGCTATGTGGCAACGCTGCAGGACACATGATCAAGCCCATGCTGCTGTACCGTGTCAAGTGTCCGTGTGCACTCAAGAAAAAAGACATGCACCTCCTCCCAGTCTTCTACCACCACAACAAGAAAGCCTGGATGATGGCAGCGTTATTCGCCGACTGGTTTCAGAATTGTTTTGTGAGGCAGGTCAAGGATTACCTGCAGGATAAAGGTTTGGAGTTCAAGGTCCTTCTCGTGATCGACAACTGCCTTGGCCACTCCGAGGCCCCCAAGGTTGCCCAAAAAAACATTAAGGTGATCTTTCTGCTCAAGAAAACAACAACATTGCTCCAAACAATCGACCCAGGACTCATTGCTGTATTCAAGGCCAAGTACATGACCCGCACCTTCAGCAGGATACAACAAGCCTTGGACAAGGACACACAGGATAGTGCTGAGTCAAAGCAGGAAATGTGGAAGAAGTTATCCATTGCAGACTGCATCTCCTTCATCAAGCAGTGCCATGATGACCTGACAGCCCTGTGTTAACTCCTGGTGAAGGGCCTTGTAGCCTTTAGTTCAATGGGGATTTACTGTACTACTTTTGACAATAGTTATTGGAATTAATGAAAATAAATTTGTAAATTATCTAAAAACACTATAATGATATCCTAGATTGGAAGCAACTCAAAATGTACATTTACGAGACGTTACAAAAATACCGGGAAAATTTTGAAAAATCTGGAGAAAGTTTTTTTCTGCACAACATAAAAAACACGTTTTATTTTATTACATCTCTACCCGATACAAATGAAGATTTACAAATGCAGTACCGTATATCTCGGCCTACAACACGGAATTTGAACAAAAAAAAAATCAGCCCAAAGTTAGGGGGTCGTCTTAAGCACCAGAGATAAAATTCTTACCTCTTAAATATTGCGGTTTAGCGTGTCAAGAGTGGTGGTAGAAACATGGTAAACCACTCACAAGGTCCTACCACTAATTATTTTATACTGAAACTTACGTTTGGGAAGCTGGATTAAAATGAAGATTACTGGTATAATAAAATAATAAAAATGTATTATAAACCTGTCTAACATACCGTAAAAGAACAATATACTCTGGTAATAAACACAGCTGCTATCATCACACCCCCATTTGCCAGTGACAAGAAAGGAAAGTGACCTTGACTGTGACCGCCTGTGGCTATTTTTAGCCGTCCTTGTTTGGAGGTATTGCATGCATATCTGTATATTTACTGATCATAATACTTATCTCCTATAAATAATTAATTTAAAATTTTATTTTTTTACAAAGAATATTCAGTAAATGATGCTTAATTCTTGAAACTACCGACAGTGGTAAATTTAGGATGAGAATGATTAACAGAAGTCACGTCATGGATTCGGAGTTTGGTCCTTAATGATCATAAATGTCTGGTCCTTCACCTACCAGGTATAATGGTAGCCTCCCTTTTTCGTAAAACAAGTATATAAATTAAAGAAAATACTTGCAGTGTGTTTAATGTATTACAGTATATTATAAATAAATAAATAAACAAATAAATCGACAAATCTATTTCAAGTAAATGGAAAATATTTTACTCACACCAACATTAGTTCCAGTTAAATAACTGACGCTTAAGTGAGTCACTAGTGTACACCAGCCGAAAATTTGATGCCAATACTTGGAAGTGAATTGGCATTATTTAAAATAACCAACCATAAATAAAAGGAAAGATCAAAGGTGAGAAACATTATATTGTATGTATGTTGTGTTGTCAAAGGAAGAGAAACAATTGAAACTCTGCAATTGTGTAAATGAGGCAGAAAGATAAATCAGCAACCTAAGACTTGGTCACAATTTGTGATGCCATATGGAAGTAGGCTCACCATTAGACAATACTGTACATTATGCTTCAATATCTTCCCAGGCAGTAGAATCTCCCTGTTTGGTAGCTGCCTAAAACTTTTAAGTAATATTACTTTGATACAACATGATAAATTAGACAAACAATGAAAATAAACAAACAAAAGTTATATACCAAGACCTTCTCTCAGAACAGAGGATGGAGGAAGGGAGATAAGACTTTATTTATAGCATTGTCTTTGTGTAGAAGTCGACCATAGAAATAATTCATTTAAAATTTATATTTTACAAAGAATATTCAGTATTACGACTGCAATTATAAAATATTCACACACACACACACACACACACACACACACACACACACACACACACACACACACACACACACACACACACACACACACACACACACACACACACACACACACACACACACACACACACACACACACACACACACACACACACACACACACACACACACACACACACACACACACACACACACACACACACACACACACACACACACACACACACACACACACACACACACACACACACACACACACACACACACACACACACACACACACACACACACACACACACACACACACACACACACACACACACACACACACACACACACACACACACACACACACACACACACACACACACACACACACACACACACACACACACACACACACACACACACACACACACACACACACACACACACACACACACACACACACACACACACACACACACACACACACACACACACACACACACACACACACACACACACACACACACACACACACACACACACACACACACACACACACACACACACACACACACACACACACACACACACACACACACACACACACACACACACACACACACACACACACACACACACACACACACACACACACACACACACACACACACACACACACACACACACACACACACACACACACACACACACACACACACACACACACACACACACACACACACACACACACACACACACACACACACACACACACACACACACACACACACACACACACACACACACACACACACACACACACACACACACACACACACACACACACACACACACACACACACACACACACACACACACACACACACACACACACACACACACACACACACACACACACACACACACACACACACACACACACACACACACACACACACACACACACACACACACACACACACACACACACACACACACACACACACACACACACACACACACACACACACACACACACACACACACACACACACACACACACACACACACACACACACACACACACACACACACACACACACACACACACACACACACACACACACACACACACACACACATATTAATATACATATTACATATTACATATTACATATTATTATATTATTAATACATATTATATTACATACATACATATTATTATTATTATTATTATACATATTATTATTATTATTATTATTATTACATATTACATACACATACATATATACATATATATATATATATATATATATATATATATTACATATTACATACATACATACATACATATACATATATTACATACATATATTACATATACATATATATATATATTATTATATTATTATATACATATTATTATTATACATATATACATACATATTATTATTATTATTATTAATATTATTATTATTATTATTATTATTATTAATATTACATATTATTATACATATACATACATTATTATTATTATTATTATACATATTATTATTACATATTATTAATA